AAATTATCTGTGCTACTAAAAGGTACTAACATTTGCAATTTTAACAACTCATCTGGGGGTTCAATATCCAAATCTTTATTCTGTAACCACCTAAGCACTTAATCTGAAAAAACGATGGCATTATAAATCAAAGGTGCCAAGGTTTAATCATTGCGAGCTAATGCTTTTTTCATTTCACTGGGAACTGAAGCATATTGTGGGTCTGCTCCCCTACAAGTCACTTTGTTATGTTTTTAGGTGAGTAACGCTCACTTTTCAAGGCAGGTACATTTCCCCCTTCTTTCTTGCAGGTACTGGATACTCTGGTTTAATTCCATGCACCCTGTGCATTCGCAGAGCTGGGTCCCTGTTTATATTATTCCTCATTCCTCACTGTGATCTAACTTGTAATAATTAATCATAAAAAGAAAGCATGACCATACACATTGATCAGCACACACTCTGTACCAGACAATGCGCTCATTACCTGCATTACTGCATAAAAATCCTGCCAGCAACTCCTGTGTTATTACTGTCTGTTTAGAAATGAAGAAATGAATGCTCAAAAGATGAACTGTCCAAGGTCAGACAGCAAGGTGTGTAGCACTGAGGTCTCCTCCCTTGTCTGTACTCTCAGCCTGTGCCCTGGTTGCACTCTCTCCCTTCTTGGCCTAGAACCATGACTCTATGTATAGTTGAGCTCTTCTGCTAACTCTTGGAGAGCAGACAGGGTGTGGGTGGCCGGTAGAACAGCTGATGTGAAAAACCCCTGTGAATGCTTCCCTTGCGGCCTTTCTACCTAGCTGTAGCTCGCTCTCCAGTGTGAAGCACAGAAAGCATTCAATAAATGGATCTTAAAATTAATTGGCTTCTTATATCCAGTGGCGAAGAGTAGGAACTCCTGCTAAAAGAATTATCAAAGGGAAACTAAACTTTCTATAAAGTGAGGACACATGTACTTGTTCATGTGAGACTTTTCATTTGTGAAATCAGACATCTGTCTTTTTAATTATTGGACACAGTGAAAGCACTTGGAAGAATCTGGCTTTTGGTTTTCTCAGGCTTTCTTAGGTATTCTGTGTTGGATTCTTCGGGTGTTGTGCACGTACCATGCACCCACAGTTGGGTTCAGAAGCCATGGCTGCCAAGTCAGTAAGAGTGTGAAGGGAATATTCGTGAATGGCTTACATTTCAGAGTACATTTGCTTTGTTTGACAGTTTCGTTCATGGTTCCCATACTACAAGATGGCTGTAAAGTTTGGAAACAGATAATACTACTTTACCGTGTGTGTTTGTCAGGTTCAGCTCACACAGTAGCTGGCAAGACTAAAATGTGCAGGGCAAGCCAGCAGTCTGAGACGCAGGGAGGAGTTGATGTTTCAGCTTAGTCTAACAGCAACCCAGAGACTGAGTTCTGTCTTCTGCAGAGGACCTTGGTCTTTGTTCTTAAGGCATTTGACAGATTAGACGTGGCCCACTTGAGTCATAGAAGGAGATCCAGACTACTCAAAGTCTGCTGATTCAAATGCCATCTACACTAGTATTTAACTAAGGATCTGGGCACCATACCCTTGACAGTGTGATACAGAAAATGACATTTGCCAAAATTCAATTTACCAGATGACTCCATTTCCCTAAATAATATTTTCCTTAAATGTCATCCTATTGGGTAATACGATACCTATTGGGTAATAGGTAATACACAAATCATTGTAGCGCTCAGTTCCCTAACATCTCCTGGCCCCAGGGCATATGAACCCCAAAGAGTTCCCCGCAAGTTTATGACGTTAAGTAGCTTCCTTTCTTTCTCTCTCCACATTCTTTTAGTATATGTGCTGCTGAAGCGAGCGCTCACCTTACATTCCTGGGGGCTGGCTTCCTTCCGCTCTTGTTACTTCTGCACACTTTTTAGTAATTAATAGCCGTTGTACAGGTTAGCAGTTCTTGCCATTTTCTTGTCTGTGTGACCAGTGTGGTTTCTATCTCCTGACAGGATCTCTACTGATACAGTGCTCTTGCAGCAGTTTGCAGTTGCTAGAGAATACTAATAAGTGATTTGAAGTTAGCTTCAGTCCCCGAGGTGACCTCTGGTTTCTATTCCTGTTTACTCCAAGGGAAATCAATCCAACGGCCATTCCTAGTTCATTAAAAAAAAAAAAAAACTTTCAGCAAACTAGGAATGGAAGGAAATGTCCTCATCGATAAAAGATATCTACAGAAGATCAGCAGTTAATTTTATACTTAGTGTTCAAAGACCTGCCTCACCCAAATTAACATATAAATGTATATTAATTCTAATCTGAATCCCAAAAAGGTTTGGGGATATCTAGATAAAATGATTGTACAATTGAAATTCAGTAACTTACAACTGAGAATTGCAAGAAAAAAATTGGTTAGGGCAGACTTATCAGATGATGGAATCTTCTGTAAAGCTGCTGTAATGAAAAGAATAAAAGATTGACATAGGTTTAAACAAATACATCACTGAGCTGACCAGGGACTCCAAAAGCTAATTCAAAGGAATTGGGAAACTTAATGTAGTAATGTGGGCATTTCAAAGCAGAGGTAAATGAGAGCTTTATTTAATAATTTTGCCAATATTGTTGTCCATTCAAAAGAAAAAATTTGAGTCCAGTTTTACATACCAAAAAAAAAAAAAAGACAGATAAAACATCTGCATGTAAAAATAATACCATAAATACACTAGAAGAAACTTTAGGATAATATATGTACAGTCCTGAAATTAGGGCAACCCTCTTTAGGAAATCAGAAAAGTTAGATGCCTTGAAGGAAACAGTGGATAGATTTGACATTTTAAAAAAACAAACAAAAAAAGAGACTGCTGCATGGTAAAAAGCACCATATGCAAAATTATAAGACAAAAATATTTTTGGAAATAAATATTTCAGTACATATGACAAAGGATTGTTACTGCCAATATGGAAATTCCTAAAAAATGATTTTTTTAATTCAGTAGACTATTAGGCAAAGGATGTGGATGGACAGGTCTCAGGAGAGAAAATGCAAATGACCAGTAAACATGTCAAAAGGTGATAAAACTCAACAACCATGATGACTTGCCAACACCCAGTTCTGATGATGATGTGGGGAAATGGATACTTTCTCACAACCTTTTTAGGAAAGACCTCAGACATTTAAATTTTTCAGCTTTCACAGCCACCAATTCTCAAACATCTATGTTTCAGCTTTCACAGCCACCAATGCAAACATCTATGCACAAGAGTAGATGTAACATTTATTGTGACGATGTGTGTGGAGTAGGACAGAAAACTTTGAAAGATGAGATGAACATAGTAAATAGATTAATAAATTATATTCATTCATACTGTGAAATGCTACTTGGCCTTTACAAAGATTTCTCCAAATCTGTTTGGCCTGAAAGATTACATGAACAAAAACCCATGACAGTAGTATATGATCCCATTTGATTAAAAAGAAAATAGGAAGAAAGGATCCATCACCACATTTCTGGTTGAGCGTAAAGAGAATGACCAGCACCAACATGGTAATTGTGGTTACTTTAAAGGAAGGTGGAGATCAGGTTTGAAGAGGGAAACTTGGGAAACTGGTCACTTTTTCCTCACTTTCTTTATTATGTAACTCATAACGATTATCATACATTACTCTTACAATTCATATTTATAATTATTAGAATCAAAACAGTGTTATTAGGTTGTTACAAAATAGCCTGTAGAAAAACATACTCCTGGCTAAAAACCGGAGAGCTGCTAGAGTCAAATCGATACAGTTGCTGTATTTAAAAAAGATGCCATTAAGTGGAATTTGTGAAGCCCATCTCACCTATGAGTTCTGCCTCGGAAATTTAATGACATTTATATTTTCAACAGATTAATTCCCCAAGTATCAGTAGTTGCAAATTGTGAATCATTTGCCTTAGGCCCATGGAGAGAAAGCCACTGGCTTCTACCGCAGGGGCTACTCCACGCCTCTTCTGCTTCCTCACGTTCTCACTCTCCAGACCCTGACGGCTTCCCCGTTCCTGTCTCCTCCTGTTTATGGTTTTCTTTACCCCTTTGCTTCCAGTCTCTCCCTGTCCTCCATACTGTGACCAGGTAGTTTTCTAAGAACCACCAGAGAGTCTTCCCCTCAACTTAGGGCCGTCAGACTTCACTTCCTGTTCCCAGCCTCCTCCCATCACTTCCTGTTCCCAGCCTCCTCCCAACCTCCACATCCTGTGTCCCTTTTCAGCCCACCCTGCCCCCCAGAAACAGCATATTCTTTAGGGCGCTGCTCCTGCTGTACGTGCTCCCGCCCCTTGGTTTGCAGTACATATCTCCTTCCGTTACTGCTGGTGGCAGTGGTGAGCTCCGAGGCAGAACGGGCTGCTCTGTGAAATCTCCCCTGACCCCACTTCAGAACACTGTAATTATTCCCCTGAGGGAAGGGGATCGTCTTGGCCTTTTAATCTCAGTATCTTGCCTGGCGTAAAATAGGTACTCTGTTGCCATTTTGTGATGGAGGGAAGAAAGGAACAAATGAAGAAATTTAAATTTGGGGAGGTTCTGTAGAGATAAATTAGCAGAGGGTTGTAAGAGGAGAAAAAATAGAGCTTATTAAGCAAACTGTATGGATTCTTCGAAGGGAAGTTCAGAGTTGTCCATGCTGGAAATGACTGGGCCTCATGGTGAGTTAGCCGTGTTCCCACTCGTGAGTTTTGCTTGCTTGCTTTGGTTTTGGATTCCGGATCCTTCTACATAGTACAGGCCAACCTCGGACTCACTAGATACCCAGGTAGGGCAGAAACTCAGTCCCCCAGTCTCTGCCTCCTGAGTGCTGGGATTACAGGCATGTGCCACTAACCCCGGCTGAGTTTAGATTTCTGAGCCAGATATTACTGAGGAGTCCAGGGCAGCATCTGTGTGAACTCTGAAAAGAATTCCAGCAATTCAGCAGCGTCGTAAATTTTCAAACGTGCATTGTGATGAACACACGTGTGCCGGCCCTCCTTGCTCATGCGCTGCGGGTGTCTCTTCCTGCAGCTGTGGGGCCCCCATCCAGGTGTCGGAGGTGAAGCTGCTCTCCTTTTCATCGGGGCAGCTGACCGTCTTCCTCCCAGCTGAGGTGAAGGCCATAGGGACGGAGCGCGACCACGTGCTGCCTCTGCAAGAGCTGGCCATGCGGGGTCTCTATCGCACCTGTCACCACTTCCTCAAAGGTACTTTTCCCGCCCTTTCACACCCTGAACAGACAGTTGTGTCTTTTGCTGCCTGTTTTGGCTTTGCTCTTTTAAAAATATTTTTTATGATGGTAAAATATACATAACACAAAATATACCATTTTGGCTATCTTTAAGTATATAGTTCAGTGGCAGTAAACTATTTCCACGTTATCTTGGTTACTTTGGAGTGTTTCTGTTTTTATTGTTGTTCTTGTTTTTTTTTTTTTGTTTTGAGACAGGGTCTCACTCCTGGGCTCCAGTCCCCCTGCCGCAGATTCATTCTCCCCAATAGCCTGGGCTATAGGCACACGTGCCCCCGCCCAGCTGGAACTTTTCTTAACAGAAAAAAGTTGTAACATTTTCTCAACATGGATCTCTGTAGCACCCACTGCAAACACAGGCACTCATTAAACTGTGGTCCTCAGTTATGAAGGGCAACAGTTCAAAGTTACACTATGTTTAAAGGAGGGCAGCTAGGGCTTGGGAGTGTGTGTGTGTGGAATAAAACTTGGTGATAGGGAAGTATTCAGGAGGATCTTATCCTTAAAGCTGAGTTGAGTATCTCCTTCAGCAGAGCAGGTTTTTGCCTTGCTGTCTGCTTACATCTGAGAAATGTGAGGAGAAGGAATATACATGAGGAGCCTGTAGCTGTGTTATTACAGCATGCCAACTCCTGTTTTGGAGGGGGCTTGACTGTGCCTAGATTTATAGGACTGCAGGGTGCGTATCTGCAGGGCCTGAAGAAAGCACTAATGGTGCGTGGTGGAGCATACACTTAGCATAGGTGAGGCCAAGGTTCAGTCCCTGCCACCAAAAAAAGGGCGCAATATTAATAAGAAAATTACATTTCAAGTATTTTTAAAGCTGCTAAATGTTTTGTTTTGACATAAAAAATAAAACCAGCAAAAAAAAAATCTTACCTTAACCTTCCAGAAATATCTAGTACAAAATCAAAATTTAAAAAAAAAACTAAACCAAAAATTCTATGTATTGACCTTTGAGTAAATTACGCTTTTCTAAGTGGTGATTGGTGAGTCTGGACAGATGCAAAAGTTAAGAACATGTTTAGTAGTTCCTCTGCGGAGACGAGCTGGGAAATCTTGAATCTCACTTCATTATGTCCGTTTCTTCCTCCATTGGATGCTTATCATCCATATCGAAGCATCGGGTAAATTTGTGTCAGGATTGCCTGGGTCGCTGAGGTGTTTTGCTTTTGCACCTCGTTTGTGTGGCTCAGATAGACTGAGAAAGAATGCTCCCTATTTTGATTAAAATGGGAATGAGACAGGGGAAAACTGAGCTTCTTATTTTTCCTTCTCTTTGGTGGCCCGTGTTTCGTTCTTTTCAGTAAACATAATTCAGCCTTGATTGGTGCTTGACTGAGTAGATGTCCAATGGAGTCAGGAAGACTTAAAGAAAGTCAGCGACAGTCTCTGGTCCCCGTCCTGCTTTAGTTCTCTGACTCTTACAAAAGCTTGCAAAACCCTCTCTGGGTAAATTGACGCCTTTTTTATCCTTGTTCTTAAAGACTATTTGATCCTATTCTTTCTTGCCTCCACCTCAGAACCGCTCCTGGTTGCTGTTAAAAGAGCGGGTTTTCATTTCCTTTTACTATCAAAAACGTAAAAAGCATCTTTCATTTCCCAATAATGTTGGATTTGTATGCAATACCGATCAGATAACAGAATTCTCAGCACAAAGTGGCTTAACTAAACTTATCTGGTAACAAAGAGAAGTATTTTAAGCAGTTTGGTTTCAGAAAACCTGATTTTTCTCTCACATGCATGATTGTTCTCTTCTGTTCCAGATTTGAACTCGCTGTCTCCCATCTCATTACCCAGAAGTCTCCTGGAGCTGCTGCGCTGTCCCCTGGGGCACTGTCACCGGTGTAGTGAGCCCATGTTTACCATCGTCTACCCCAAGCTCTTCCCCTTGAGAGAGACGCCAATGGCAGGGCTGCACCAGGGGTAATCACGCTAAGTGGGCATCAGGGTTTCGAGCTGGGCCTGGGCACACCATGGAGAGAGGGGAGGCTGTGCCTGAAAGCACTGTTAGCCAGCAGCTGTGAGGGGGCACAGCCCGCTTCCTGAGATGTAGCCCAAGGAAACAAATAGGTACTTCAGCATCGCAAGAACCCTGCATTTTTCTTCACTAATTAATTTTTTGGTCAAAGACAGAACAACTGTATTATACATGTTATTTAGAATAGCTCAGCCTTTGTGGGAATGTCTTCCTGCTATCCCCCGTTCAGAATAGTCTTCAGAGACTAAGGAAATAAGGGGTGCAAGAAAAAAGTTGCACAGTATGAAGGGACCAGCCCTTCTACTTAACTGGCTTTGCTCACTGAAAGTGTGACTGAGCTGTGTGCGCATGTGCGGTGCTTGTGTTTTAAGCTTCTAGCCCTTCCCAATGGCTTTCTCAGGCCCGGCTTTACTTCTTGGCATACTGCTCTGAATTTGCTAAGGATGCTCATTCAGTAAAAACCTCAACACTGGTACTGCAGTTTAGAAAACGGCGATAAGACAGGAAATGAGAAATCCCACATGCACAGTTTAGCTTATGGATTTTCTAAATGTAAGCTCTCTGTTAAGTTTGAATTTTTTAAAGCTGAAAAAGAAGTTATAATACTTTACTTACACTTCACATATGGTATTTGGGGTGAGTAATGTTCCAGGTAGCTGAAGCTTTTTATCTCTTTTCAGCACCAAAAAGTGTTTGCATTATGACCATTTTTATAGAAATACTTCCGAGATTTTCTTTCCTTCATTTTGTTTTCTTGTTTCCTCTTCTGTTCTCGCCTCCTCTTCTTCCTTTCTTCGCTTCCTTCTCCTCTTCACTCCTTCTCCTCCCCTTCCTCCTGCTTCTCTCCTTTTATTGGTGCTGGGATCAAACCCAGGGCCCCACTGAACTACACCGCGCCCCCTTCCTTCATTTCATTTCCTAGTGCGTGCACGATGGGCCGTGTGGTACAGTGTGCAGAGCACGCCCTTTGCATCCAGCCAGCCCAGCTCTTCTGCTGTGAGAGCTTGAGCAGACTGCTGAGCTCCTCTGAGCCTGGAAAAGGGGACAGGGCAGCCCACGCAGCAGGGCCACGGTGACAGCCAATGAAGAGGGTGGACACCTGGCACATAACATACTCAGCACAAGGAATTGCCTTTTCTGTCTCTCGACCTGCTTCCTCCAACAACTATGTTTATCTTTTTCTTGCTCTGGATAATCCTATTTGGTGTGCTTTCGGTTCCCATTTCAACTTCCTGAGCTTTTTAATGTTTCCTGCTTAGAGAGCCTCACTGAACCTTTCTGATTTGCTGGGAAAAACAAACCGACCCCATACTCAAACTCAGACTGTTCGCTTAGTGTACATTCACCATGCAAATCACTTGTGGCATATGAGCAAGGGTTTCTTCCGCACCCCAGGCAAGTCGTTAGTTCTGCAGCACACCAGTGGGTATACTCTGATCCAGTTCTGTTCTGACACTTTCTACCTAGAGATAGTATCAGACCCTAGATCAGGCCCTGTAGTAGTCAGCTTTCCTGTCACTAAAACACAACGCTCAGTATCCACAATTTAAAGGAAGAAAGGTTTAATTTAGATCACAGTTTCAGGGGATTCAGTCCATGGCAGGTAGGCTCCAAGGCAGGAATCTCGTGGCAGAGGGGCAAAACTGCTCAGTTCACGGCAGAGCAGGGAAACAGCCCCAGAGAGGAAGGGGGCACAGGCCAGGTGTTCACGACCACCCCCACATACCCAGGAGCTTGCTTTATTAATCTGTTAGGTGTTTCTTCATCCAATGAAGTTGACACTTCAGGATAATTGTCACAGGCCCCTAGGCCGCCCCCCCAACACACTTTAGATGCCAATTGCAAGCCCCAGATTGTATTACCTGTGCTTCTATCTAAGCAATGTAAATTGGGGTTCTCACAGCCTCCTTCTTGGCTCAATTAATTTGCCTGAGTTGCTGTCAGAACCCAGAGAAAGACTTTAATCGGTTTATTATAAAGGACATTACAAAGGATACGGACGGGATGAAGCTCAGGAGGCAGTATGAGAGGGGCTTTGGAGCACACATGCTCATTCTGGGGCACCGCCCTCTGGAACCTCCATGCTTCGGCTTCGCAGAAGCTCTCTAAACTCTGTCCTTTTGGGGTTTTATGAAGATTTCATTACATAGATGTGATTGCCAGTAGGCTGAGGGGATCCCCAGCAAGTCCTGTTGGCTGTAGCTCTCTTCCTGGGCTTATTCTGTGCAGTTGTCCTCCCCGCTGGGACGTTGGCAGGACCACTGTGTAAACAGGACCTACTGCCGGACAAAGTCATCAATTTATGGCCAGGTCCAAGAAAGAAAAGCAGGAGAAGGTTAGAATGTCTGTGATCCATCTTGTGGGAGGGAGTTATGAAGCAAGAACCATGGAACAAAACCTAATTATACTGCTTCAGATCTTAGGTGATCAGGTAACCAAAGCTGATGGAATTGCATTTATGTTAGAATAAAAAGGACTGAGTTGGTTTCCAAGGATATTATGACTTGTGCAAAACTAACAAATGAAATAGATGCATTGGGAGGGTCAGTACGCTAGTGACCAAGGGCACAGGCTTTGTTTTTGACTCCTGCACTGAGAGACCTGGGACAAATTCCTGAACATTCCTGAGCTTCATGTGTTATCAACTGATAAGATCTACTTCAGTCACTGAGGCTTCCGTGAGGTCTCCCACGGGGGGAGCCCAGTGAGGTGTGATAAATACTAAGATGAGAACTAGTACCGCTATCCTCATATATGCTAACTATTTTGATAGTTTAGAGACTGTTTCTTATTTTTGTTGTGTTGCTTTTAGAAGATGATCTTCATATTAAGGTCATGATCGGAAAGTCTTGACTAGTTCATTAAACTGCAATAAAAGTCCTCACACCTTGTGATTGTACAATTTCCTACTGAAGACATTTCCTCACTGCAAACATGAAAAATAAGATGATAAGTCAGAATGCTCAATAGCCTATCAATTTCTAAAGCCTGTTTTCGAAAACGATCTTTCTTTTTATCATAGTAATTGATTTATGAAAATAAAGTAAATCCTTCAGATGAAGTCCTGTTGGGCTACTTTATAGGAAATGTGGGCCACTTAATCAGCATTTCCATTTTCCATTTACTGCTATGCATTCCTGTGCTACCAAGTCAGTGTGAATAAGCTCATATTGTTTCAGAGCATAAATACAAGTTAAGTGAGTAAGTACTAAGTTTGCCCTTTTGCGGAGGGGAGGCAGAGTGCTGTGTTTAAGGCAGAGATGAAATGCCAAGACATAGATGTGACTTTCTGTGGGGAGTTAATGCTAGGGTCTGAAGCTGAGAGTTCATGGCTTTCATTTCATCCACCAGACTATGCTCCTTCCCCTGTTGCCATGGAGACTGAACTAAAAGCATTGACTTCAGTTTCCTACCACATTCTTTAAACTACTTTCTTTTGTAACTGAAACCCAAGCACTTGACTCTCTAGTACTTTATTACTAAGAAAATAAAGACAATATCTTTCATATCATATACTCTAACAAGCCTTGCTAATATTACTGAGTAGTTTTCTAATTTGTTCAGTTCCATTTGCATTGCTTGTCACAAAATAATACATTGTATCAGCTAGTATCTAAATTCATGTGGACATCTGGCATTATTTTAAAAGAGAACATATTGAATATCCTTCTAAAATATCAAGTTCCATGGAAGTGTTAGTTTGATCCTAAATTTAATACAGGGTGATGTAGAAGAAATTACAGTATTTTACATAAACAATAAATACCCAAATCTGAAATATGTTATATGTACCGGGGAAGAACGGCTTGTAAATTCATGAGTTTGATCCTAGAGCCATAACAAATTTCCATTCACAAATTGTTTATTAAGATGAGCGACTTCAATTTAAAGTACAATTTGTTAGCACAACAACGTGGCCCTGGCTTTTCTCCTACATACGTGGATCTCCAGAGCTCTGCATTTCCCAGTAGGAAGTCAGGCTACCCGGTGCTTTCCAGAAGCACTGCAGTAGTTGGCTAGGTATACCGCAACAAAGTGCCACAAGCTAAGTGACACAGAGAATTATTTTCACAGTTCTGGATGCTGGAAGTCTGAAACCAGTATTAGCAGGGCCGGTTTCTTCGGAGGGAGGGCCTGTTCGAGGCCTCTCTGTGTCTTGTGGGGCTGTTTCCTCCCTGTGTTGTGTCACATCATCTTTCCTCTGCCCATGGCTTACTGTCCAGGTGTCCTGCTTTTGTAAGGACACCAGTCACACTTGATTAGGTCCCACTCCTGTACAAGGACAGCTTCCAGGTAAGGCCCCTGTAAGTCAGCTCAGGCCACCGTAGCAAAATACCATAAACTGGGTGGCTTAACCCACAGAAACCACATGCTCTGGGAGCCAAGGATATTGCCCTGTGCTCTGGTATTCAGGAGCTAGGCCCAGCCTCAGGTTCCTTCTCCCCTTTTCTCTAGGGTACTTGATGTCTGAGCCTGGGTAGCTCCATTGGTCCACTCCTACCTAAAGAATGCCAGAAGTCTGAAGGCCTTTCTGCATCTCATCCCATCTCTGTCCTGTTCAGACCGCGCGAGGGGTATTTTTGCTAAAATGATGGACTGAATCCACTAGGCACTCACCTAGTCTCTACAGATGGCTGCTCAGCCTTGCCCTCGGTATTCTCTCCCAAGTATTCTTTCTCAATTTAAAGCATGAAATGTTAAGAATTTTGCAAATCTTTCAGTTCTGGGTCCCTTTTGCTTAATACTTTGCTCAGTGTGTCTCTCTCTTCTTGTATTTTACTATAAGCAGCAAGAACAAACCAGGCCATGCCTTCAGCACTGGGCTTAGGAATCTCCTCAGCTCAATGTGTGCATTGTCACTTACACAATTACCTCCTCTCCCCTTCCGGCACATGGTCCTTGTTCCCACCGGAGACCTTGCTTGCAGCATTGCTAACATTCCTAT